GAAAGGTAACACTAGTTTGAAGGAAACCCCTAATTATCTCTTTTGCGACATGCTTGTTAGGGAAGTAGTGAGTCTGTTCTTGTTTCCTGTCAGGCCTCGGAACCCACATGGGGACCAGTTTATTTAATTACGGTTAATTTATACATATGACACAGCTGTTGTGGGTGAATGCATAATTTTTTCGGATGACGAATAAAATATAACTAAAAGCTGATGATACAATTCTACCTATGATAACATTACTTTTGTGTATAAACATCTTATCTTTGATAAAACTGTCCCATTAGTTAGTGCATTTGTCCTTATCAAAAGTATAATAGCTAGAAATGCATCCGACATGTGTGAACAGTACTAAAATTTATGTTTTAGGTTTGGTGAGATGACATTTATATCACAAAAACAAAATATAACTAAAATATAACTAACATAGTGAATTTAAATGTATTATGGACAGAAAGAGAAGGAGTTTATTATGAATTTGAAGTTGCCCTGGAAAGTCAGGTAACTATAGTAAACCAGCGGTTAGATGAACAATGGATCGCAAAAGAACATTTGCATTTCAGCTAAATGTATTTAGTTTTTGTAGTTCATTATATATTGAAGTAACTCTTTAGTAACTGATCTGATGAGATACAGCAAAGTATGCCTGGCAATAAACTGAGACACATATTTAAAATCTAGAATGCTCACTCTTCTTCTGCTCATTCTTCCTCTGCATTTGCCTTAAAAGGGCACACTGTATTGATTTACAGCTAGACTGTGATATCTGCCTCTTGCGCCCCAATACACACAGGTAGTTAGCATCCTTTGGATATGTTCTCTAGGTCATGATGGTGTTGGGAAATGAGCAGGCGGATAGACTGGCCCGTTCTGCACCACTTGGTGGTGAACTCATGTATGACAAGCTGGATGTTGTGAGGGCCTTTTGGGAGTGAGTGAACAGCGCCGAGGTACAAATAGATCATTTCGGTCTGAGAAGAATGGCGCTGCAAGGAGTTACAAGGGGATATGGCCGACACTTGACAGAGAAAAGGCTAGACGGATATACAATCAGACAGTTACTGGTACTATCAGAATGTTAACTCTTCGCTTGCTGCTGTTGATGGGGACAAAGCGCTTATGGGGATGTCCCGAGTGCATTGATGTTGATTCTTAATTCAACACATACACATTTTTTCAGAAAATGTTTAATAGTCGTCTTTAATGACATGCTTATTAAGTAGCAGCAGGTTGATTCTTTTTTTTCTTCCCAAAAAACTGATACAGGAACCCACAGGCAGAAAAGAATGCTAACACACCATAACATAATAATATATATATATATTTTTTTTGAATGAAAAATGCATTAAAGTGCCTACCTTTGATACACAAATAAGAGACAGCAGTGTATCCAGCTGACCAGCCTCTGCTGCCTTCAGTAAAAACTCCAGCACATTCATGGCCACCCCTTCAGTTCTGTTATCTATACACTGCCACAGGGCTGACAGGCAAGCAAGCATGTCCACAGAGGATTCTAGTGCTGGACTGGGTGAAGAAACTGTGGAGCAGCAATACAACTAATGATTCCCTAAGATTAGGGGTATGAGTTAAATTATTAGTTTCAAAGAAGGGTAGACCAGATAAATATTTTTATTATTAAGCTTCAAAGATGCAGAAAAGTTCAGTAATTTTACTTCCCGTTTTGGTTCCGGGGCCCTATTATAGGGGAACAAAAGAACAGATCCACTGCCTACCCAAAAGCATGTCATAAAAGTCGACTAATTGGGAGCTTTCTTCGAAGTCAAAGTACATCTGCTTGAGAGGCAAGGAACCAGCAGCCTGCATACAAATGAATTAGATCTGTAAAACGGACACAAACGAAACACTCAGGTTCTGGAACAGGACTGCAGTCCAAAAGTGGATGAACAACCAGAACTTTCCGCCAGAGTTTACAGCTGGTGAACACAAAGAAAAAGTTATTTTACTATTTAATTTCAAAGATGGGCAGTTCAGTTGTTTCATTATTTAGTTTCAAAGATGATAGGCAGGTCAGTAGCTTTATTATTTAGTTTCAAAGATGCACCACACATTAGTACTTTTATTATGTAGTTACAACGGGGACAGACCAAATCAGTAATAATATATCTCATGGTGTTGCCTGTTTGGATAAGAAATAAGAAAGAAAAAATGGATACTATATTACATCCTTTCATGGAGTAGTGGCTTGAACACTTAGCCTTCGGGGCCTCCATGGCAAAGCAGTTGGCCTCCCATATTGATGTCTGTGGCTTCATTTTCAGGTAGCATTGTTTGGTTCATAGGTTCATCTGTGATCCATTGGTATCCTTGTGAGAATCCTAGAATTTGTGCTTTATAAATAACAGTCCTAGCAGGTGACCATTAAGAAGGAATTTCAAAATCACACAGTCTTCTGATCATCGGGATGTGTTCATTTGATGCCTGCTGTTTTCCACACCCCTCAGAGTGGTGGTACAGTGATTCATCATCTGCCACTAACAAAAAAATCCTTTCTACACTCTGCAGTATTGCAGCAAGTGGTTCAAATTCAAATACCATACTGTGTGTTCTTCATGGACTGTATCGGCTTTCTCCTCAAGCAAGTGGGATGTGTGCTCGAATGCCTGTTTACATTTTTCTGATGCGCCACCTGCTTGTCTAATTTCTTAAAGTTGTTTGGTTTAATTCTGCCAATCCTGCTAATATAGCTTTTATGCATTTGCAACAATGTAATTATTTAGAAATGAAATTTTTAAAATGCCCTAAGACGAACAGAGGAATTCAAGTATTTGGATGCAGTTTTCACTTCCAATGGAAAACTGGACAGAGAAATTAGCTCGAGATGTACCAAAGCTAATCAAGCGATGGGACAACTGTCTCCCCTGTTGACACACAAGCAGATACCCTGAAGTATTAAAGTGAATCTTATTAAAACTATTTTTTTTTGGGTCAACACTATGCCAGCAGTGCCAAATGTGGACACTTACATCCTCTAATGAATGTAAAATTGTGACAACAGAGATTAAATGGCTTAAAAAAGCTGCAGGAGTTTTAAGGAAAGACAGAATACAAAATGACAAATGCTAGGAATAAAGCCAGTCTTACAGGTTATCAAAGAACAACAAATTAAGTGGTTTGGACACCTAACAAGAATGCCCTTGTACTATTTAACACAGCGAGCCACACTGAAACAGTACAACGGGTATAAAGTGAGCAGAAGACCGCGGAAAAGATGGAGGGAAGGCATTAAGAACAGCCTTACAGAAATGAACATCAATCTTAATAGTGCTCTTGAAAGAGCTCATCAACGATTGTTACATTTCCCCCCGACACTTTGATGAGGTACAAGGTGGAAGAGAAGAAGAAGAAGAAAAATAATGTCATTTGAGTTGCTTCAAAAAAAGAATTTCAGGTCGGTTTTTTCCCCACGGATGACTATGTCTAGGATAGGAATATGTTATGAAAAACATTATGTTCTTGGTTTCTTTTCCATATAGATCATACTTGTTGATTTTCTTTTCCTTCGCTGACCAAACAATTACTCTTGCTTTACCTCTTGAAGAATTTGTCATGTTTTTTTTTTTTTTTTTTTTTTTGTATTTTGCTCAAAAAATTTTCCCATGATATGACAGTAGCCAAATATAACCCAATACTAATAACTCACAAGAAAAATTAGTTCCCTGTCAAATATGGGCATCATATTTAAATATATTCTTGCAAAGAAAAACATACGACCGTCATCTACAGTATCAAAAATAGTACTACAAATAAGTTATGAGAAAAAAAATATACTAAAGATAACATCAACAGATCATGTAGATGTTGCACTGGAGAAAAACAACAATAAAAGTTAAGGACCATTTCACCCATTCGGGCAGCAATGTTGACTCTCAAGGAGATACAATGAAGGAAATTATGATATGGCAAAGCAACAACATTCTTTAAAAGCAAAATATGGTGCTCCAAATTATACAGCTTAAAGACTAAACTATGAATCGTTAATTCTAATATTATTTCAATTTTAACATATGCCAGCGAAAGTTAAATGCATATGAAATTAAATGCTTGAGAAAAATTATGAACATAAAATGAGATGATTTAAAAAAGTGAAATGAATGGACTATATTACCTGTATCGACTGCAATAAGACAAAGAAGGTGGAAATATACTGGGTACACTGAGATGAAATGAGCAAAGAACTACAAAACAAGCAATAAAATGGGAAACAAACAGTCTGAGAAAAAGAGGACACCTAGGAAAAACATTAAGAAGCACATTACTACGAGAAGCTGAAAACGCTGGGCTAAACTCCATGTCAGAAATAGAGAGAGTTGCATGCAGCAGAACAGAGTGGAGGAATCGAATGCGAGCCCTAATGGGACACAATGGATGATGATGATGATGATAATAAAATAAAAGTAGAAAAGGATCTATTTTTTCTTCTTCTTTTTTTGCGTTCACCAGCTGTAAAACTTGCAGTAAATTCTACCAATTTTTAGACTTGTATTTTGTTCCAGAACTTGAGTTTTGCGTGAACATCCTGTTTTTTTTTTAAAAACAAAATTGCCTCATTTGTATAGGTTGTTGGCTCCTGGCCTTTTAGGAAACACTTTTCAAAAGAGTCACCTTTAATTAGTCGTCTTTAATTATATGCTTTGTTGTGGGTACGGGGGTTGGGGGGGGGGGGGGGGGGGGGGGGGGGGAGGGGGGGGGGGGGGGGGGATGGGACCCTGGAAACCACAGGGGGAGGATCCATTTCAAACTGTGAGGCATATTAGGCATATAGTGCTAGCCCCATGTTTTAATACATCAGTCGACACACAATGCATGATGCGGCTAATTTGATACAAGCCCCTTTATTTTCCATAAAATTTCCTTGTACACAACTGTCAGACAGGAGCAAGCTAGCAACACAGGTGAATATTTTTTTTAAACCGATCTCAATAAGGATTCGAACACACGACAGCTAAAAATGCAAATAAGCATTGACAATAAATACTGACCAGCGAAATACAAATCTCCAGCAATTCTCACAGCCATCTCTCTAACATTTGGGTCCCGGTCGAACATCTTAAACTGGAGTCTATGAAGTACATCCTGAAGGATGTCCCTATTACAACAGAATCCCACATGCATCAATTGTCCTGAATGAGCACGGTTCTTGAGCTGGTCAGCATTCTCGACATAATTTAGTATCATCAGATAGCAATTCAAGACTGCAGACAGTTGCTGCAATAGAATATATATTCATATATATATATATATATATATATATATATATATATATATATATATATATATATATATATATATATATATATATATATATATATATATATATATATATATATATATATATATATATATATATATATATATACAGAGGTATAGTACATCTATACAGAATCAAAATATATTTGATTTTAGTTACTACAAATTATTCTTCCTCGTACTGACAGGAGCATCTGGAATAACATAACTGCTGAGAGTTTTCTTAAATAGCTAATGCGCCAGTTTGCCAGACCACTAATAAAACAGTCTAATAAAATAGACAACTTGTCATTTAATGGGTGATGTCAACATCGAGCAGGCTGATTTTGCTTCCCAGGACATTACCTGATGCCCATTTAAGGCTGGGTCAACCTGGAAGCCAAGCTGAATTTTGAAAAACTAAATCCACCTCAATGCAGATTTGAACTTTACACTTTCAGGTTGGCAGGTGAGCATCTAGCTACTATGTTACAGTGCCTTCCCCTTTGGCCTCGAGATGTCACTAATCTGGCATTACTGTCCATTATAAATTCCCTAGAAGCTGCTTTACTGGCATTGCTGCATTGATGAATCCAAAACTGGCCTAGTTAATAGCATTGCTTCTGTTTGCATCTGTGCAGTGTTTAGAAGTTCTGATTATGATTGTATTTACTAAAAACAGCATTGGGGAGGTGGGGGGGTTAATGTTAAACAATTGATTTTTTTTTAGTGATAACGACATGATTAATTCCCCTTTAGCCTTCAATAACTAATCAGGGTCACAAGGGCAAAAAATGAGTTACTATGAAATACTTTTTTGTTTATGTCTAAGGGGCTCCAGTTGTTTAACTCTGCTATGTTCATTTGTATTGACTACTACACTCCGTATACTTTAAAAAAAAAAAAATGTAATACACATAAATACCCTTAATAAAAATTATTAGTGGCCCGAGTACATTGAGCAATGCGTGCAAAAAGGGGTGGGGGAGGGGGGTGGGGAGAATTCCCTGGTTGTGGGCTTTTTTTCTCAAAATGGTTTCCAGGTGACAGGGTTAAAGCTGTACTCATTTTAAAAGTCCAAGCCTTCCACTATAATTATTCACTACATTCGCAGTGGAATGCTTCATCATCATTCTGTTGTACTATTATATGTCCCATACGGCTAATATCCTATTCCTCCATTTTGTTCTAAACTGTGAAATTGTTCTGATATCATGGATGGAATCTAGTCCAGCCCCATTGGCCTCTCTCATTAATATCGCAGCTTGGCTGTAGATAGGAACAAAGCAAATAGGTCACTCAGATGAACAATAGAAGAAGAAGATTTCCTTCGCACTGGCCATCTGTACTTTTTTCACTATTTCTCCAACACAGGCCACCAGTACATCCTTGATTAATCCCTCATACTGGCCACCTATACTTTCTTGATTATTTCCTACACACAGCCCATTTGCACTTTCTTGATTATTTCCTATACATAGGACATTTATTCTTCCTTGATTATTATAATCTCCACACTGCTTACCTGCACTTCCTTATTTCCTCCACACTGGTTGGTCATCTGTACTTCCTTGATTATTTCCTCAACCATGGCCACCTTTATTTCCATGATCATTTCCTTCATGCTGGCCACTTGTACAGACTGTTTCATAGTCTCCTTTTTAGGCTGTGGTTAATCTTGGAGCCCAGGTAATTTTTTTTTAAATGTATATTTCAATGAGGATTTGATCATAGGACTACTGGGGCCATCATGCAGGCATATTATCTGAGGCACTTCTGTGCCTTCCAAACAAAACAAAAAACAAAGACAACTAAAAGCTACAACAAATATAAATAAAGTAGCAACAACAAGAACATTCCCCATGAATGAACTCACCCCACAAGAAATACCTGGAAACTTTAAACAAGCCAGTGTATATGACTGAATGTTATTTAATAGATTGCCAGTTTGCGTGTTTTCTAAGAAACATTTCTCATCCGTAAGTTTACCTGTCATGAAAAAGGAAGATATCGAAAATATGATTTATTTTTTAAATGCACATGGGCAAACAGAGAGATATTAGAGGGGGAGAGAAAGAGAAAGAGAGACAGAATGAACATTGTGTTTTCATTTGGTTAAAGATGGACATGCTGGCCTGAATGGTGTGGGCACCCAGAAGTGGAAACGGACATCAACACAGTGAGTATGCTAAGATACCTACACCACTTTGGGGCTGCTCCTGTGGACCACTGCCAGGCAGGAGCAGCATCAGATTCCAAGCCTCGAAGGGATCCACCCCCAAGCTACTGATGTAAGTTCTGCTCTTTGGTGGACCAGGATTAAGCAGAGAATTGTGTCTGGCCACTAAAGATTATGCAGTGGACTACAAAAGGGGTCATGAAGAAAAAGCTTGAACTGCAAAAACTCATCTTTGAACAAAAAGATTGATGTTGTCTGCATTCAGGAAACCCTTTTGAATACAGGCTCTCGCTTCTCTATAGGAGGCTATGAATGATACAGGCTAGACAGAGATGGCCATAAAGGAGCCATCATTATGTCAGTAAAAATATTATACTGTAGCCACAGAAACTTCCAGAAGCATCATGAGTCTTAGTATCCAACAGTAAAACACCACATCCTTTCATAGCCACTGTACTATAGCTACAGAAAAAATTCCAATGAATGCCGACAGAGAAGTGATAAAACACCTGGGAGGAAATGATCACAAACCAGTCATTGTTGTGATAGAAGAATAGTCCCCACAGCCAAGAAAGGAAAGCCCAAGAAAAACAAATTCAGTTACCACCCCATAAGTGCCTTGGAAAGATAAGTGAACAAGAGGTTACTCCTGGAGGAAAACAAGTTATTGGATGACAGCCAATCAGGAAATTCAAAAGTGCTAATGACCAAACTTCTTATCTCACAAAGGAAATTGAAGATGCTTTCCAGAGAAAATACAAACTGCTAGTCACTTTCTTCGACCCAACCAAATCTTTTGGTAAGGTCTGAAGAAACGATTGAAAGTAGCACATATCCGGATAAAAGGGCATATGTTTGCTTGGATTAGAGACTTTTTGCTTTACAGATACTGCGTGAGGATCAAACTGGAAGAACACAACAGCAAGCTGGTTAGACTACAAGAAGGTGTCCTACAGGGAGATCTTATATCTCCTACCCTGTTTATTCTTTTCATCAATGTCCTCCCCAAACTGTTAATGACTCACATTTACAAGGCTCTACATGCAGATGACCTGGCCATATAAGAACAACTAACACGAGAATGCAGAAAGCAATAAATACAGTAAGAAGTGGACAGACTCTTGGGTAGTCACAATAAACCAGACCAAAACTGTCTCAACTTTTATCTCTCTTTCCACAAAGCTAGAATAAGTTGATCTGTGCCTAGAAGGCAACATTCTTCTAAAAGAGGACAATCTCACATATCTGGAAGTAATATTCAACAAAAGACAAATCTGGGGCCCCCATAATGAAGGCAGCAAAAGGAAAGCTACACAGCGGCTCAGACATACGAAGAAACTTACTGGAACAAGCTGGAGTGCAGATGCTAACACAGTACGACAAGTATACACAAGATACGTACGACCAAAACTGAAGTGTGGCATGGCAGCATTATCAAGTGCAGCCAAATCAAATCTAAACAAACTGGGCAAAATACAGAACACTGGTCACAGAATCATCACTGGAGGCATGAGAAGCACACCAATCAATGAGCTGGAGGCAACCTTTGGCCTTCAGAGCTTGAGCCATCGAAGGAAAGCAAAGGTGCTTACCCTAACAGTAAAATGTAAATGCATGAAAAACAACTGCATGCACAGAATAGCAAACAAATAAAACCGACTGAAAAGACAAAGCTTTCACCATCTATCAAAATTGTTCTGTGCCCAAAACAGTGATACTCTTTTTAATGGCAATTCAATGTGCGAAATTATCAAGGTACATAGACCTACAGCCTAACTAAACAGTCACAACAACAATCCCAGGCATTGACAGAAAGGCTAAGAAATGTGACCTTGTACAAAATGTAAAGACCCTTGAACATGCCCACAACTCTTTACCTGAATGGACACATGCATACACCAATGAATCACTGGAGAAAGCAGCAAGATGGGGCCACAGTGGAAATGTCATGTGCCTCTGGAAAACTCTCAGCAAACTTTAGAGCAGAGCAGCAGGCAATAACTGTTGCAGCCAAAGTGCTTCAGGAAGGAATAATTAAAAAAACAGCAAAACTGTTTTCCTGTGTGTCTGCATTTCAGTCCTCCAGGCGACTCAAAGGGATCCACGACACAACATGGAGAGAGAACTGACCTGCCAGCTAAACAGACTCACAGAAAACAAATCATTCTCCAGTGGATCCCAGCTGAGCAAGCTGAAAGGCTTGCAGATAAAGCTGCCGTGGAGGGCAGACAATCTAGGTATAGGGTGTCGCAGGGCGATCGAGCCTAAAATGGGTACCAGGGTAGATATCCTTGGGAAGTAAAGACGGTCGGTGTAATGCTGATCACATTACCCACCTAGTGCTGATGGTCTGTAAACATATGGATGCTCTTCCCATTTGCCAGATGTCCCTATGGCATATAAAGGGATCTTTACTTTTATAATCATCTATTTATGCTTCTACATTGTTCACATGCTCCTATAGGCCTTGATCACATCTAGTTGTCATGCTTCAAGTCACCACTCAGTGGTGCCACGCCAGCAAATCTATCTGCTTGTTTATTTCACAACACATCTTCATGCTTGGAGAAAATATCACAAAGGCCCCAATTACCAGGTACCTCTGAAATAAAGCTCGCTAAAAACACAAACAGTAAAAGCATAAGAATAGCCTACAAAACTTGAAAAATTAAAAAAAAAAAAAAAAAAGGCCCAACTTACTAACTGCCAGGTTAATGTCTGTTAACTTGAGAACAAGGAAGTTCAGAAAAGTGTCATTTTGTATGTTTCCTTCTTTCAGCATAGGTAAACCAACTTCACTAGGGACATCTGTTCTTTTCAGCTCCAGGTAATCAATGAAAGCATTATAACCAGTCTCGCTAGTCTGAGAATAAGAATACAAAATACAAGATACAAGAATATGCTGTGCTTAACTAAGAGTATATGTATGTACATACGCGCACGCACACACACACATAAGATATTAGTCACAGTTCAATTTCATGGCAAGTGCGACACCCAATCTTTGGTCAGTTTTTTGTGCCAGCAACAGTAACAAACGAAACAAAAACAATCACAGAATGCCTATAACTGTTCCTCATAAGAAAACAGACAGCAGTCCCAACTAAGGCAACAACATAAACAGGTATAAACTTGTGCTCCTTCTTATAGAGAGCTACATTAGCAACATGGATAGTGTGCTTGCCTGCAAAAACACAGGTCTAAACTCAATTTCCAACAGAAAAAAGGTAGCACAGAACCAATTCTAAAGTACATACAGAGACAGCAAAAAAAATGAAATGGTTTCCAACTCTGAGAGGATGCTTTGTGATGCCAAACCATAGACCAAAGAGCAGAAGGATGTAATCAAGAGGTAAACTAAAAACAAGATGGAAAGATAAATCAGAGGAACTCTACAACAGCAGAGTGTATTATTGGTTGAGGCAGCCAGAACAGCAAGCAGCCAAACCTTATATTTTCCTCGAGGCCCAAGTTGGTTAAAGAGGAAGTGAAGATAGAGGATGGATTTTTTTTCTTTCTGATCGATATAGCACTTGGGCAGTCACATGAACTATGGCTGGTTGGTGAAACATTAGGAAGACTAGGGGGTTGCATGGTCTTGAGGCATGGTGTCTGCCTTGAGTGCTAGAGGTTCCAGGTTCAATCCCTGGTAAGGGCTGGGATTTTTTCACATGGACTTGGACATCTAGTAATTCCCCCGGTCTCTGGGTAGTGAGATCGACCAGCTGTGTGCATTGATGCGCACATAAGAAAATCCCTTGGCAGTTGGAAATCGAAAAGAGTAGCCTAACTGCGCTGCAGGGCAAAAATTTGGAGTTCAAAATCTACCCAAAGTAATTCAGGATTCTCGCCGGTGCTACGGAGCCTGTGGACTGTTCTGAGCTTTTTCGGACTCAGACTTGAGTTAGAAAAAGAATGAACATGTACTGAGTGACATTAACAGAAAAAAACCAGACAGGACACCAAAAAAAAAAAAAATTTGAAAAATATGGTAACTAGCTTTTAAACTTTGAACCTATAGTTTTTTTTGTGTGTGTTCCAGGCTTAACTGTCTTCACTGACTGCATTTATCACTTGTTATGGTGCTGAGTGGCAGGGATTCATAAAAACTACCTTTTGTGATTTCTAAAACAAATGAAAATATGTCTCTTCCCTGTTTCCTAGGGTTTGGTGGCCCAATATTTAGAGAGGGAAAAAGAGGTGACTGACTGCCTCTTAATGAAGCATGTCATAAGAGGCAACTAATGAAGGTTTTGCTGCAATTTGATGTGTTGGGCAGAATGGTGCAGATCTCAAAAGCCATAACTCAATGTGTCAGCCACTCTTTTAACTCTTTCAGTACGAGAGGACAGTTAAATTAGTTATGTCATCTTCTTCTTGGACTCCACTTCTTCTTCTTCTGCTCTTTTTCTCCTGAACTCCTTCAGTCCCAGTCAACCCATCATATGTTGACATAAGTTTAATTTCCCTGTGTGGGTTCTGGAACTTCACTGTTGTTGTTGGGGAGGGGGGGGGGGGTGTTGTAAATATACATGAAACCCCCCCCCCCCCAATTTTTTTGACCCGGAACCTCTAGCACTTGAGGCAGACACAATGCCTCGAGATCACGCAGCCCCCTAGAAGAAGGAGAAAAAAAAGAAAAAATGTATACAGTACCTGAACATGAGCCACACAAGACAGATTGTCAACTGCCACCTTCAGTAGACTAGAAGGTTTCAATGTCTGCTTCACTTTCAATAAAGATTTTGTGAGTGTTACAGCTGCCGAGCAGGTGCTGAGAACCGACTGTGGGCTCACATCAAACATGATGAAAAGTGGCAAGAGGGAAATCTCTAGCAACAAAGTCTGGTCCTTGGCTTCAACTTCACACCTGAATAAACAGAAATAGTTGATTAATTTAACATTATATCAATATATATAAATCTGTGTGTGTGTGTGCACGCATGTGTGTGTGTGCGTTACAATTTTGTTTATATCCATGCAACAACAGCAATTAAAAAAGTACATCTGATGACTGCAGAATATCAAAAGATGGAAAAACAGCAGAGCAGAAAAAAAACAATTATACAGGGTATCCCAATAAGTTTCCATGCACAGGAACAAACAAACATCACCAACGCTATTACAAGCACAACTCCAGCTGTGCTTATACATGTTTATTCTTCAGCAGTGGATGTTTATCAAAATGTGTTCATATGTGAGGAAAGTTGTGAGACACCCTGTAGAAAAACAGACTGCAATAGCAATAAATAAGGGGCATCAGTAAATAGTTTTTACACCATGGAAATGTACTGGATATATGTTGCTAGGCCTCTATTGCTACACTAATGGAAACCTAGTGAGAGATATGGTCATGCTGGCCATGTTTTCCTAGTAAGCCATGGTGGTGCAGTGGACAGATGCTTGCCAGCCGGATCAAATGGTTTTGGTTTGAATCTGCATCAGGGTGAACTGTCGTAACTGATTCTAGGACTTACACAAATAAATGGTCACTAAAAGAATTTAATATTTCCTAAAAACAGAAAACGAAAACACACTCCTCCACCATAATCAAATGCTTTATATGGTAACCAAATACACTGATTTAAAAAAATACAATAAATTACATGAGTGAGGAACATTGGCTGAGCAGTTAAGAATGATAGGTGTTCTGAGGTCCCATTGTGGGGGAAGAAAAAAAAATAGACCTACTTCCCCCTAACAAGCTTACAGTAGAAGGCAACTAATTAGGGGTGTTTCCTTCGAAGCCACTGTGCATTTGCCTGGAACCAACATTCTGGATACAAATAAGCCAGATCTGTAAAATGGATATTAATGTAGAACTTCAGTTCTGGAACAAGACCAAAGTCCAAAAGTGAACGAACAACCAGAACTTTCCACCTCAGTTTACAGCCTGTGAACACCAAAAATAAGAAGAATTTTCAGTAAGGTACAGTAAGGTAATGGAAGCTTTTTCTGTCAGGGGCAACAACAACAAAAAACCTGCTAACCTGCAGGAACCGTGGCAACTGCACTGGCTATAGTGCCCTAAATCCTCTGGTTACGCCGTCCCAAAATGGCTCTAAAACATGGTAAATGCAGGCAGTAAGGACTTACTGAGTGAGTATTAACCTTGCCATGTAGACAGCATCACACATTAGCAGGGGGTTGTTGGCCGCACAAACATCAAGTAAAAATTTAATCAGCGTTTCAACTTTCACCTCCTGCCTGTCATTGCAAAAAAAAAATATATATATATATATATTTCAATGTATGAACAAAGCATATTCTTTTATACCTTATGTGTATGAGCATGTGTGGGAATTTGTGCAAAGATCACTGCTACCAAAATCTCAATATTTAGATTATAATATACAAAAACAGACTTAACCGGCAGTAAAGCAATGTTAAGTATGCTTACCTGCTGGCAAGAGTTCAAATCCCTATCCAGGCAAAGATTATTTTCTTGATCTAACTTCTGCATTCACCCTCAACAAGGCTGTTAGCGCACTGGTTTGTGATTTACAGCTAGGCTGTGATATCTGTTCCTTTCAGCCTAAAACATCTTATTTCATACCCATAATTAGTCACCTATTTCCATGTTTGTTGGGAGCAAGGGAGTCTATTGTTTTTTTTCTCTCTCCCAAAACCAGGCCCTGGAACCCACATGGCGTGGTTGAGCTGGTTACCTGGAAATGTTTTGGAAAGTAAAGGCAGGTGGGAACAACTGACAATTTTCACCCCATCTCATTTGCCTGCATGATTTTGTATTCGTTCCCATGGTCTGTCTATTTCCAGGGGTGTAATGAGATGTCTTCCTTCGACACCTATACACGCCATGTGGGAAACTATTTCAGGTTCATTTGACGCGGTCGACATTGTGTCCCAGATTACACTGGGCAGCTTTCTAGTCGCAACTGTCTTTTCTGTGAACAACTGTTGTTTGAGAAATGTGTTGTTGTTTTGAGTAGCTCAGGTGCCATAGGTCCATGTGTGTAAGGAACAAGTACTTCAGGGGTAAGCGCAGAAGGCGGGATAGTTCATGAGTATAAAATCATTGATGTTTTTGTATTTTTACACTGGTTGGCGGTGGATGTTGTCGGTGGTGGATGAGCTTCAAACTTTCATCAAAAAAAAGCAACACCCGAAGGCCCACAAACAAAGGACAACACGTGGGAACAAACATGAAATCATGCAGGCAAGAGGGGGTGAGAATTATGAGTTGTACCGGCAGGTAAATGATACTGACCACATCACCCATTAACCCTTTCACCTTGCGAATGCTTAAAATAATGGGTCACAAACTCTAAAATTTCCAACAAACTCGTTTAGAAACAAAAATTTTAGCAGATCACTAATAACAACAAATGTATTTATTTATCTACATGTTTTAATATATTTTTCCCACATACAAAAAAGTGCACGTTGGGAGTGATCAATAAGCATGAAAAGAGTGAAGTTTTTAACAGAATACATGCCCAGGGACCTAAAAATAAGTACTGGTCGACTCACACTATTACCTCTACGGCTGAAACTACAGCAAAACTATGATGTTAACATGGCTTTAAAAAAAAGGGCTATTTGGTTCAACAGAAAATCCTCACGCTTAGTGCTATTTTTGGTAAATATAATCATATCCAAACTTCCTAAACGCAGGTATGAACAAAACGAAGGATATTAAACAATGCTTCTCTGAAACAGGTCACTAAAGGCATGCTGGTTCACAGCAATGGTGGAGATGTTGGGTTCATGGATTCCTGGGGTGACCAAATTTAATGTCAACTGGTAGTTTGAAGTTTGAACAACAGATCAACATCATAGCACATGGGTAGTTACCCATAAGTGCTCCGTACTTCTTCTAACTCAAGTCTGAGTCCGAAGAAGCTCAGCACAGTGCACAGTCTCTGTAGCACCGGCAAGGATCCTGAAATACTTGGGGTAGATTTTTAATTCCAAATTTTGCCCGGGCAGTACCATTAGGCTATTCCCTTTCGATATCCAACTGCCAAGGGATTTTTTATGTGCGCAACAATGCAACGGGCGTCCAATCTCACTACCCAGAGACCAGGGGGAATTACTAGAAGTCCAAGTCCACGTAAAAAGATCCCTGACCTGGTCAACTGGTCATGTATCTTATATCATTTAAGCATGGAAACTGATTTTGTTTTTTTACTTTACCCTTTTTACTATACTCATTCAGTCAACAGAATTAATAACACATACCAAACAATAACATTGCAGCCATGGTGGTGTAGTGGCTAACAACATGCCTGCTGGTCAGGTTGTCATGAATTCTTGTTCTTCTTCTGGGATTGAAAGAGTTAAGAAACAGAGGATCAAATTATTTGATCTCATGTCATTAGAATGCAGTCATAGCAACTACCGGAAAGGCGCTAAACATGAAAAGATTCTGATGTGAATCTAGAGGTTGCCTTAGGAGAAGTTGGAGTAAAGACAAAGACCTTCAGCACAGAAAGACAATAGCCACACTGTAAGTCATCAAGTTATGGATTTGAAACTTTCCTTTCAAAAGCAAAAGTGGAAACATGATGTTGATTTAAAAAAAACAATACTTACTTGCTTTTAATCAGCCTGATCAGCATTGCTATACCGGGTCTGAGAAGGTCAACTGTTTCTATGCGATTATCAAAAACTAGAAGCTTCAACAAGGCAGCCAGCTCATCAAACATCTCTGCTTCAGCACATTTTCTACAGAAAACTTCAGAAGCTGCAGTACACCGGCTCAGAAGTCTGCAGTGATTGGCAGCAGTTGTGATGTGAAAGTCAGAGAGTTGTTCTGATGGAACCAGCTTGTCAACACTACTTGAGACAGATTGAGCTGCCTCTGCATGCTTCAGGAATTCAGAATTGAACTCTTGGATTAGCTCAAAGATTGCTGGCTTTAACATTGACTTCATATTAGTCACGATTTCATTCTCTGTTTCATCTTGGGAATCATCGTGTGACAACTTGAGAAGCTCAATGAAATATTCTCCTGCCGACTGTCTTGTATAGTTATGTGGACTTGCCAAGCAGTAGATGAGTGCTTGTGAAACATCAACTGCAAAAATAAAGAAAAATGTATCCAGCTAAAGTTATGGCATTAAATCTCATCGATTATGTCCAATTGGAGGATTTAGTTAGGGTAGAACACCACCTCCCCCAACCCCCCCTCTTCCCAAACCCTAAAATTAGATGCTGAAGAATAAAAGGTGATGCTTCAAGGTGAGTTAAGAACAAACATCATAGCACCCTGGAAATGCACTCTGTCCCAATCTTCAACAGCCAGCACAATTCATGCGATCGTACCAGTAGCAGTCTGATTGTGTATATCCATTGTACCTTTCTTCAGTTTCAAGGTGATATAGCAGTTAATACTGCCACAACAGTGGTCTAGGCTGAACTCCCAGCCCAGGCATTGACTTTTGGTAACCAGTATGACCTGGGTCAACCAAGTCTCATAGAACTGGGTACACAACAATTTTCAGAATATGCCTTGGAAGGCAAAATGATTAGGAGAAAAAAAACTCACTATATTATCTCATACTTTAGCTGTTTCAACTCAACTAAACTTTAGCTGTTCTCCATATTTCACCTGCATACAACAGTAGTGATTTAACACTAGACCTAAATATTTCAAGTCTGCTACTAGTTTTAATTTGCTCTGATTTCCACATGTATCAACCATGAGACCCTCTTAACTTTCTTGCCACTGCATGTATCAGTCACTGTACAGACAAAAACCAGGATATGTTGGGTGAGCCTTTTCCCTGGTTAGCCTGCATGATGTTCCATGGATGGGGGTAAAGTATCCACTTAGTTCTACCCCAGTCAGGGTAAACTGCACCAATGGAAGAGCCAACTGCATTCTTGCCTTGGCTACCTGCAGGATGTCTCATGGCTGGAGTAGAGTATTCACTTAGTTTTACCCAGATTCGTGTTACCTGAACTCATGGGAGGCAAGTGATAAATGAATGTGGTAAGCAGAAGAGAAGTTTTCACTGGTCATCACTTTAGCAGTGCTAGACAAGAGGAAGTCCCAGGTACAATCGCTAGGACAACCTGTCCTCACAAAAGAGAAATTTCCAACTACTGTGAGATATTTTGATATTTTTATCTTTTGAGACTTATTGAAACATGGCTAAATATGTTTAAACCACTGTGATTGTCTAACCCAGAGTCACAATGTAAAATGATTGAACACACAGTGAGCTTTTTCAAACAAGAGTCAGAGCAGAGAAGAAAAAAAAATTTATTTTAAGTTCTAATGAAGACATATCTGAGTTAGCTATTCAACCATTTCAACCCACATCACGCCAAGCAGAAACATTGCAATCACCCATGTGAAACAGTCTAGCAAATTCTTACTGACAGTCCTACAGGGAAACCCACCAATGTCACTCTTTATTATAATTTATAAATCCTAGACCATTTGTCTTCTTCTTCTTCCTCGCGTTCATCAGCTGTACAATCTGGTGGAAAGTTCTGGTTGTTCATCCACTTCTGGACTGCAGTCCTGCTCCAGAACCTGAGTGTTGTGTGTGCATAAGTTTTACAGATCTGATTCCCTTGAATGCAGACTGTTGGTTGCTTGCCTCTCAGACAGATGCACATCGACTTCCAAGAAAGCTCGCAATTAGTCGACTTTTAGGACATGCTTTTGGGTAGGCAGCAGGTCTATTCTTATTATTCCCCACAATGAGGTTCCGAAACCCACACAGGTTGGACCATTAGTGAAATTAGAAGAAGAGAAGTACCTGAGTGCTATCATCTAATGAAATGTGATGCGTAAGTCTACGTCTGTTCCTAAAAACAAAGCACAATAGTGGACAACTGTCAGCACCTTTCTATCTTTTCAGAAGATAGTGTTAGACTAGCTGTAGAGAGGCATGAGAATGAAACTGCTCCTCTCCGCCTGCCTTCATTACTCAAAATAAACTCTTGAACCAATTAAGTCTGGAACAAAGTATGCTGCAGAGGTTGCCAGATCACAAGAGCAATGCGCTGTCTGTCCGCATGCATGTCAGTCTCCCTCCTCGCAACAAGGGCTACAAGCCTGGTCTGACCTTGTCCAAGGATACATTATAAAACCCCTCAGGTTTTCCATTAGCAAAATGAAATGTTAGGTTTGGTATATATATATATACACATACACTTACACTGAACAGCATTCAGTAAATGCAGTGAGGATCTTTGCTGTAGCCATCTCTTGTAAATTTGAAATGTCACATCTACTCTGTGGCCTCTGCTAACCATCCAGTACTGTAAAGGACTCCTAATGACAGAAAAGGCAGATTTCTCCAGGAAACTGCAGTCCTGATGAGCAGAGAGCACTTCAGCTGCCATCAGCGAAACATTGTTCATAACAAAGTCAGGGTACATGATCATACCACCATCAGCTTCGAGGAAACCGTCGAGAAATGACTTGAAGTCTACAGCTCTCACAAGCTCCAGGTTAGGTGCTGTGAATATATAAACCAGCTAATGTTAAGAAGTATACAGGCATGTAGAAAAAGGCAGCTAGAAAGAGAGAGAGAGAGAGAGAGAGAGAGAGAGAGAGAGAGAGAGAGAGAAAGAAAGAGAGAGAGAGAAAGAGAGAGAGAGAGAGAGAGATGGGGGAAGAACAGAACAATGGAAAGTAAACACTTCTACTTAACACACAAATTAACTTATCAAACAGTGTTACATAAAGCAAAATGAGCATGTAATACTACAATTATACTATAAATCTCAATTTCATTTGAATTTGTAAATTATGATACCCTCATCATCGTCATCAGGTGCCTTGCCGACTGGCGTGGGCGATCATGCCTCTCCATAATCTGCGATCTCCTGCAGCATGTATCAGTTCGTGTGCCGACACACCTCCATGCCATGCAACACGACTGTCAAGCATCTTCTCTCGTTGTCTTCCACTATCCCTCTTTCCACAGATCTTTCCAGTGGTCACAACATGTTCTATTTTCCCTCTTCTCAATACATGGCTAAAAAATAATGACTGTCTCCTTCTGATGTCTGTGATAAGTTGTCTTCGGGCTCCCGCCTCTTTCAAAACCTCTTTGTTGCTCTTTTTGGCTGTCCAAGGAATTCTAAGCATTCTTCTGTAAAACCACATATCTGAGGTCTCAAGAAATTGTTTGGCCTGCCTACCGATTGTCCAGGATTCACAGCCATATGTTAAAACTGGATGTATGTAGCAAGCAAGAATTCTTTTTCTAACTCTCAATGACAAGGATATATTGCACAAGATGTTTTTCATTTTATAAAATGCAGTTTTTGCCTGTCCTATTCTGTTTCTTATCTCAGTTATGCATCTTCCATCTGATGTTATCCAGATACTTAAATTTCTGTATTTGTCCTAAAATAACACCATCTTTCTGAAAATATCCTTAGGATGTATATGGCATTGTTTGTACCTTTTCCTTCTACAAATCCACACTGTTCATCGCTGATTTCTGGTTTAATTTTGTTTCTTATTCTTCTCATAATTATTCTCAGTAAAATCTTAGTCATGTGACTCATGAGACTTATTGTGTGATGGTCTTCACATTTTAAAGTGCCTGGTTACTTTGGCTGAGCTATGAATATGGATTTTAAAAGTCATTTGGAATATACCCACTATTATAAATATTTAAAAGTTTTGTTATTATTTTAATTCCAAAATCTCCCAGTGCTTCGATTTCTTCCAGTGAGATGTTGTCTGGCCCGGGTGCTTTTCCTTTCTTCATATGATGTATTGCCTCCTCAACTTCTGCAGTCATTTTTGGTGGACCATCATTGTTGGTCTGCAGTTCTATGTCTGGTCTATTATCATCATACAATTCCCCTATATACTATGTCCATCTGTTAATTATATTACTATGTCCCATTAATAAGTCACCATCTTTTGATTTCAAACATCCAGTGCTGTTACGTGTCATCTTTCCTGTTAACATATTTATCTGCTGGTACATGGAATGTAGTCTTTCCTGTGATTCTCCAATATCTCTGCACACATTTGATTCAGCCAGGCTTCTTTAGCCACTTTGCATTTGTTCACTATTTCTTTTTGTATTCTAGAGTATTCTTTATCATTCTTTTTCTTCCTTCTTTCATCCATCAACTGCAGAATTTCTGTTGACATCTATTTCTTTTTTGCAACTCTATGGGTTGGTGGGATTGTCTCTTTTGATGTCTGCTGAATTGACTCACGCAACATATCCAACTGTTCATCAATAGTCTGTATAATTTCCATTGCATTATACTAGTTTTGTACAGTGGCATTGTACTGTTCCTTAATTTCTTTATCCATTCTAAGAATTCCTAAATTTAACTTGATGTTCTGTGGTGTTTTTCTAATGTTATTTAGTTTTATTCTAATTTTTCCTACAACTCGAACATGGTCACTAAAGCAGTCTGCCCCTGGTCTAATTTTTGCTCCAACTAAGCTGCTCCGGAATCTTCTTGAAATCAAAATATAATCAATCTGATTGCGGACATTATCACCAGGACTTTTCCAAGTGCACAATCTTCGAGGATGGTGTTTAAACCAGGTGTTACCTATTATCATCCTGCGCGACTCAGCCCATGCTATTAATCTGTCACCTCTCACATTCTTTTCTCCTAGGCCATAGCCACCCGTTATTCTGTACACTTTTTTCACTTCCTATTTTCGCGTTGAAATCTCCAAGTACTATTGTTACTTCACAATTTTTGCACTGATCAACAGCCATGTCTAACTCATCATAAAATGCGTCAATATCTTCCTCTGAACTATCTGCTGTCGGGGCACAAATCTGTACTAAGTTGATGTCAAATGGTGTGCCGCAAAGTTTTACTAATAGTACTCTATCTGATCTATCCAAAATCCTTTCACAGTTTTTGAGTTCTTTGGATCCAAAATAATACCAACTGCCTTACTATATTCCTTCCCACCCGAGTAAATAATTCTGTGCTGATGTGAATACTTTTCCCCTGCTCCTGGCCATCGCATTTCACTAATTCCTAATATGTTGATGTTCATTCTCTCATACATGTTTATTTGTGTGTGATATAAACTAAAAAAGAACGAGAAAGGCAGAACCAAATATAAGGAGTGAGTATATAACAGTTTTGTGTGTGTGTGTGTGCAAAAAAAAAAAAAAACAGAATATATGGATTTTTTTAAAAGGAGAAGAAAGAAAAAGATCAAAGGTATAACTAGAGTAAGAGAGAAATTTTCAAATACAGCAAATAAACTATTCAAGAGCTAAATTCTCAACTAAATCTTTCAACACTCCCACTTAAAGGACTAAAATTCCCACTCTTGAGTACTTTATTGCACAACCAAACAATATTAACTACACTTGTATGTCAGTAACTGCAAATGGATGACAACATAAACATATCTCTAACAATATCTTTACAGAAAACTTCGACATAAACACATCCCTACCAACATCTTTACAGAAGACCTCCATCAACTTCTCCAAGACCCAACTGTTGCATGTGGGAGCATCCTTGTACAGTAGCAAAATCTGCCTGAACACACTGGGCAATGTGTGCTTGTATTCGTCCATGATACAGCTCTCACACTAAAGCTGTGGAGCAAATATCATCAATAAGATTATTGGTTTGGGTTATACCCCCCTCCCCCCCCCCCCCATAAAAGATATTATTTGAGTTGAAAAAATTTCTTTTTTGTCACTGTGACATCATAATAATGTAACTGGGTAGCGAGAAAGGGTAACTGTCATAGAAGACTTTTATTCTCATAGTCAAAAGTAGGAAAAGCAGTTAATTCTTTGCTCCATTTGTGTTGAATGCTTACTTCCCTGTATGCAGGAAAATCTTTTATGTTAAATTATCAGTAAAAATATCACAAAATCTATTTGTAGTGCTGTGAAATACTGAAATCTTGAAAGATCTGAACATGAAGGAAGATAGGCTAATAAACAGAATCCTATCTCGGAAGCTGAAATATTTTGGTCATTTCAAGCGCCACCATGGATTGGAAAAAAAATTATAGCAGAAGACATGGTACTAGGAAGGAGGGACAGGGGCTGACCGACACGAAGATAGGCACAGGATATAAGTGACTCCTTGAGTATGAAAGCACAAGAGGCGGAAGAACTGGCGAGAGACCGAGTTTCCTTCAGGCAGACCGAGATAAGAGCCAAGTTCTGCAAAAGACCTGCCACATGATGATGATGACAGTGTGTGAATGCTGTGATGAGGTTACGGTAACAGGTTTGCCTGTGTGCTAGGTAGTCATGGGTTTCAACCCCCTGAATTTAAAAAAAATGTAAACAGACTTTGTCACTAAAAGTACTGTAATAGCAACAGCCAGAAGTGGAAATATAAGTCCAATAAGGCCCTAGCAGATCTCAAATAGGGAAAAGGGGGAGGGGAATATTAACAATAAGAATAAAATGACAAGTGTATTATTAGCCCCTGTGTGAGTTTTAGGGCCCTATTATAGGGAAAACAAAAAAGACTTACTGCCTACCCAAAAGCGTGTCATAAGAGTTGACTAATTGGGAGCTTCCCTTGAAATGGGAGTGCATTTGCCTGAAAGGCAAGGAACCAACAGTCTGCACACAAATGTGTCAGACCTGTCAAACGGATGCACATGCAACACTCAGGTTCTGGAACAGGACTGCAGTCCAGAAGTGTACGAACAACCAGAACTTTCAACCAGAGTTTACAGCTGGTGAACGCAAAGAAGAAGAAAAGTGTATAATTATTGATTTTATTTATATTATTACTATTTTCAAAAATGACCTCGACTCCCAGGTCGACCCAGCCTTGAGTGGGTACAGGGTGCAGTCCCAGGAAGTAAAGGCGGCCGGCGTGATGCTGACCATATCACCCATCTTGTGCCGATTGGTCTATAAAAATGTTTCTAGCCCTATTTGCCCTATATGCCTAAAGGCGTGGAAAAGGGTCCTTTACTTCTCTTTTTTTTTTAACAGCTGAAACATATTTTACTGACCTCCTGATAAACAAATATATATTTTTGTAAATGTCAGTTAAATATAAACGATAAAAGTAACATTTACAAACATACATACATTATGAAGAAGAGTGAATAGTTACACTTACACACTAAGTGCACAATGTGCACACACTGACACAAAACAAGGGCTCAGTCTACAAATGAAACTATTTCTAAATTGGAAAGCGAATACATATACTATACTTTAAGATATAAGTATAATTAGTGCTGATAATGGATTCCAAAGTGCAAATTGATGAGACACCATATTGTTTTAGCTGCGCAGTGGACTCATTGTGACCCTGAAAATAGGGGAGAATATTACAACAATTGTTTCAACCTGTTTATCTTCCTAGGCATTCTTGGGGGCGGCCCGACCGGGGTCATGACTCTCTCTTGCTGCACTTATCTGACAAAATGTTTTATAGTACTGAGATTTTGGTGATATGGTCAATACAGTAGCAAATTACCCTCCTACTAAAGTTCGGGGGATAGCCAAGAAAGGGCTCTGCTCCGAACTTCTACCCCCGCAGTATTGCAGCCTGAAATATCCTTTCGGGGCGCAGCCTAATTAAAAATACGGACTTGTCGGAGTTCCCGCCGAGGAACAAATTGCGGCAAAACTAGGAGTACCTTACAATGTCAGGAGACTCAATATTGCAGACGATAGTAGCAGATGATAAAAGCGACCGTTGACAATTTCGAGACATTACAGACGATGAAAGCGATATGGCGGGTAGACCACGCTCTCCCACGCAGATTAGCAATACTGTTCTTCCGATTGAGGATTTAGCAGCGGTAGATGTCAGACTTGTCGGCATGCGCATAACGCCATTAAACTCACCGCTGAGTGTATCCCCCGCGCCGCTACGCGTGGTGCGGATAGGGGGCTAAACTAGGTGCCTGGGACTCACGAGCAAAGTAATTGGAGGAAGTTTCAGGAGATGTGGTAGCTGCTGCTCGTGAGTCCCAGCCATCTAGTTTAGCCCCTATCCGCGGTGCGGGGGATACGGTTAGCGGTGAGGCATAGTCACAGAAACAGGTCCGCAAGTAACATATCGCTGAGACCCTGTTAGAGCATTTGTTACGTTTTTCAGAGCCGATCCTAGATTTGCCGCGATTTTTTCGTCGGCAGAAAGTTCGACAATGGAAAGTGTCAACGGTCGCTATTTTCGTCATCTGCAGTGTTGCGTCTCTTAGAATTGTCAGGTAATCAGAAACAATAAAAACAGGTCCGCAAGTAACACATCGCTGAGACCCTTTTAGAGCATTTGTCTCGTTATACGGAGCCAACATATTTTTAATTGGACTGCGACCCGAACGGATATTCCAGGCCGCAATACTGCGGGGGTAGAAGCTCGGAGGAGAGAAGGTGCACTTACTCAAGTTACTGTACTCTTAAGTTTTATTCAATACATAATAACAAAACTGCACAACCATCTTCAAATTTCACTTACCATGTGCTCGACAACTGAACCTACAAACGTTGTGAAGAAAATACTATTATTAATACACAGAGACTGTCAACTTATATTACTCCTTGGTTTGGAGTACTATTCATAGGCAGTTAAAAACTTAAATCGCGGGATTTGCCGAGATTTTCAAAAGAATTGAATATGACTGAAGGCATCCTGAATCCAGCCGACATTGTTTATATGTTCGATCGGTAGCGTTATTAATGACCGAACGTGAAAAAAAAAAATAGTCATTATTTATAACATAACAAGATAAGAGAAATATGTGTTCGTGAATCATACACTGCCATTTGTTGTCCAGGAATAATTTTACATTTTAAAGTTATAGCAAAAACTCAGTAGTGTTAAATGGAACAATATTTATGAAATATCTGTTTTTGTTTATGACCAAACTGTGTAATTTCACCAATATTCTGCTACTGGTACAAAACATAGATTCGGTTAACTTGAAAAATCAAATTAAATTGATATTCCCATCTTCCAATGTTTTTCCTTTGTCTGCACGTCTGCAAAAAGGTATTTTTCATCTTGAGAGCAGTAACTACCCGCACCTAACATTGTGGCATAACACCAACATCCTTTGTCATATGTTTTATTTTTCACTCTATAAAGTCCTCCTTTCGAACAGCGTAGAGGGATTAGAAAATTCAATATTGTCTGTCCAAAGGCACAGTGAAGCTCAAAATCTGTTCTTGAATTTGAAGAAAACGAAAATAATGTCCACAGATACAACTGGATGTCACCCAAAAATAACAATAAATGGTGAATAAATTGAAAATGTCACAAACTTTGAATATCTAGGCTCTATAATAAATAGCAATGGAGACTGTTTGACAGAAATTCAAAGGTAGATTGCCATAGCAATGTAAAGATTAAACAACCTAATAAGTATGTGGTTAAGCACCAGCAAGGAGATCAAAAGTATAATTTTGAAAGCACGCATCTTCCCTGTAGCAACATACGGATGTGAGTCGTGGACTTTCTCCCAGTCCTTAAGAAAGAGAATAGGGGCTTTTGAGCTGAAATGCCGTAGAAAGATTCTCAGAATATCTTGGACGAAAAAAAAGGAGAAATAATGACATCTTGAAAGATATGAACATCAAGGAAGATTGTCTAATAAACAGCATCCTGTCTGGGAAGTTGAAATATTTTGTTCATATCAAGCGCCACGACGTATTGGAAAAAAATCATAGCAGAAGGCTTGGTACCAGAAAGGAGTGGCAGGGGCCGACCAACACGAAGATGGGCACAGAATATAAGTAACTCATTGAGTATGAAAGTGCATGAGGCGGGAGAGCTGGCGAGAGACCCTGTTTCTTTCAGGCAAACCGTGATGAGAGCGACGTTCTGCAAAGGACCTGCTACGTGATGATGATGATGATATAAAGGCATAGCACCACGTGCCATGGAGGCTTAGATCACCCCTGAAACTCCTAATGGAATTAGCTGACACGACAACTTGAACAACTGACTAAGACCCCGGCACTTAACTTCTCAATACAACACTCATCCCATTTACTTGAATTTTTTATTTTTTTCCTCTAAATAAGTCAAAGCACAATATGCTGTGACCCCTCAGTGGAGTCAAATGTCATGGAGACTCAGGGCTGTAGTGGCTAAAACTCTCGGGCAGTGGAGCACACCAACTGTTCCCCCTTGTGAGTCTCTAGGTTTAGCCTTAAACGCGAAAAGGGCGCACTCAGGTGGTAAGACCTCTGACCTGGTAAACCTTTCTACAGCCAAGACCGTTGTGCGTGACCGAAAAGGCACACCCTTCACAAGATGCCCCCGTTTACCAAGACCTCGCGGTCTGGGACAAAACCTAATAGGCCTAGAGGAGACAACCTCGTTTAAAATTTAAAAAAAAAAAAACTTCAAACAAAGCTTACAATTAGTCGACTTTTTTTTACGATTTAAAAAAAAAACTTAAAAGAAAGTTTACAATTAGTCGACTTTTACGACACGCTTTTGGGTAAGCAGTGGGTCTATTCTTGTTTTCCCTACAATGAGGTTTCGGAATCCACGCGAGTTGGACCATTAGTGAAATTAGAAGAAGCCTAAAGTGGATCTACGTGCTGAGATGCTGAATGGCTGTTTACATTTCAGT